CTAGGACCCCTGTATGGATCCCTGAAGAGCCAGAGAGAAGAAGTTTGGGGTGTCTCCCAAACCATGGGCCAGTGCTGCAGGTTCTAACTAGGCAGCAGAAGAGAGTAGATTTCCCTAATGTCTAAATGGGGGAAGTGAGTGAGGCCTGGAGGAAGGCAAGTTTGGGTTTGAGAGTGGAAAACTCTGAAACAAGGAGCAAAGTGATGCCTCAGCCACCCTGGTCCTGATCTTCCCTCAAGCTGGTGACCGAGGGAGGGAGAACAATAAAGGCGGAAGACGCCAGGATGGCAGCTGCTGTCCAGGAGGTGAGTTCCCAGGCTGGGAGGAGAGACCAGGGTGGCCTTCCTCTGAAGCTGGGCTATGGCGGTGGAGAGATCAAAGTAGAGCAGGTTTCAGAGGGATAGAGAAACCTGGGAGGTGGCATCTGCGTCTGCACGCTCCTTAGACCGCCCCGATCTGGTTTGCTGAGCCAAGAGAGGTGGAGGAAAAGAGGCCTGGAGGGGACTGGGCAGGGCCAGGGAGCCACTTTTCTTTCCTTTCTTACCAATATTGCCCTTTGTAGCCCACCAGGAATTTCCCACAAGTGTGTGGAAGGGTTTCCACACTCAGATACACTCTCAAGGGTGTCCCCCTCATATGACCTTCCTGAACCCCCAACTTCTTCCTGCAAGTGGCCTCTCAATTTCAAACATTTCTTTCTTTTCTGGATACCTCAGGCCCTGTGGTCTCTGTCCTACACAAATCTCCTCTCCCATCCTGTGGCAGGGACCCTGGACGTGAACGGGCTCCCCAAACTCTATGCCTGCCCTCCAAGGCCCCAAGTCTGGGCCAGAATCCAGACCCCATGGTGGAGAGACTCTTTGTTCTCCTGCAGCCTCAACCCACCCCCTCCTTTTTTAAAACTGGAATTTCTCCCATAAAAAAGGGGGCAGGAGTTTTAAAGCTTCAAGCTCTTTTTTCTAGGGAATATGGAAGAAACAGAGGATGGGGGGGACAGGGAGGGAAATCAACTGATACTTAATCTCCAGAGAAGGGGATCTGGGAGTTAAGAGCGCACCAACCTCATTTCTCTCATCCTTCTCCCAGGCCTGGTATTCAAGCTACACCCAGCCCTCATGTGTGGGCATCAAGCTTGCACCGTCTTGCTCCAAATGCTGCTAACTTACACTTCTGAGTTTTGTCTTAAATCCACTGGACCAGGAAATTCATCTTTCAACTTCAGAAAAACAAAGATATCTACCTCTTTATTTTCCAGGTATTTTCCTGGGGGGATGTCTTTGTAAGTAGAGGCCAGGATGAGCATGTAAACAACCATTAAGTGTGTATGCAGAGAGATAAAGAGACAAGCCAGTGATATTTACTTGCATATAGAGGATTTCAGCAGAGAAACTCGTATGTTCGTGAGCACATTTGAGCTTGTGTCCATAAGGGCATGTGCTGGCACAGTACGTGCAGCCTGCACAGGTCGGCAAACCCACGGGTACACACACAGTTCCAGTCAGAAGGCTCTTTATATGTTAGAGCCTTTGAAAGGAAGAATTTCAAGAGTTGAATGTAGCCAAGAGGAAGCTACCGGCACAGTGGCCCCTGCCAGCTGGCCAACTTGCCTGTTGCAACTGTTCTTGAAAATGGAGCCCAGAGCAGAGACCGGGCTTCCAGCGGGGTTGAGGGACCATTTTACATTCTCATTTGGTATAATTAAATTCTCCGTCTTTCCCCCCACACCAGCAGCTCAGCTAGAGTCCGAGGAGCCGTATTCCTTCTCATTTCTCTTGGTTTTCTCTAAACTTCATCCATAGTCAAGCTCCACCACCCACCCCATCCCCAAAGCCCGGCGGGATAAGGTGTGGTCGCGTGGTGGGGGTGAGCGCCGCAGCCAGCCGAAGATTTCAGCGCCCGGCTTTCTAGGGCGGGATCGCCTCGGAGATGTAATTACTACGTTTCCAGTGGTGCATATTCTCCTGGAGTGTTTCATTTGGTTTTATTTGTGTCTCAGCGAGAGCCACATTTTTTTCGGGGTAGGGAGGAGAAGCGATCCCAGGTTTAAAGTTGATTAACCAAAGAGGCTCTACCTCCCGCCGCCTGCCCGCAGACCTTTCCCTCGGCGCTTCCCTCCAGTTCCCCGGCGCGACCCAGCCGTGGAGCCTGCGGTTGCAGGCGCGGAGGGTCTTGGGGAACTGAACGAAAGAGAAGGGATCTTTCTGAACAGTGAGCCCTTCCCCAGCCGCTTTTAGCGCCCTTTGCGGGGAACTTTCCCCTCCTGCCTTCCCACTCCTGCAAGTCGCTTCGGGAACCTAGACTGTGGTTTCCAGTCTTTCCTCTGCCGCTGAGTTTTGGCAGCTTAGTGCCCCTAATAAATGGAATTGTAAAGTTGCTGGGTTAATTAAATCTATATCTCATTGCAATAGGAATAGTTAATGTCCTTACATAAACCTGGAAAAGAACATACTATTAATTTTATTTATTGCTGGGCCGCCCTGCACCCAGATCCTTCCCAGCATTCTGCCCCGATCTCCAAAGGCTGGGGGACGTGTCTTTCGATCCCAGCCGTGGGGGACGGCGCCTGGCCTTGGGCTGGAGCGTTCCTGAACCCGGGAGGGAGCCCCAGGAATGAGATGGGCGTTTTAGATCCTTTGTGCCTGCTGGTGGCCCCATGCCGCCCCCACCCCCCGTTTCTCCACGTGGACCGGACACCTCACAGGAGAGAAAAGCCCAGGCCTCCGCACCATCTCTAGGACCCGCGGCTCGAAATCGGCAAACATACCCACCCCCCACCAGCTGGGCCGCTGGCAGACCCGGAGGCCAAGGTCACACGACCCAGTCTAGACACGACCAGGCCTTGTTAGCTCTCCTCATTTTACCTTGACCTTGGACTCTGGCGGCAGGGAAGCCAGTCTTCTAGAAGAACCGGCTCCTAGTAAGACCCCACCTTCCCCTTCGCTCATTTCTCCTCGCCCCACCATTATTGTCCTCAACACACACCCAAGCTAGCCTGATTATGTTTCAAACCTCTTTAGGTTGTATTTTTCCTCCGACTAGCAGCCCGGCCTGCAGCTTCCTTTCTGAACTCGAAGCTGACCCTTCTGGACGAAGAGCACAACGATAAGAATTACTTTTCTAGCGAACAGACATCTTAAATCACAGACACCAGGGCGCTCTCCACCGTCAAACACCACCTTCCGCCTACGGGGAGAAGAGAGGCAGCCCGTAGGCCAGAACTCAGTGCAGACCCGGCCATTTGCTCATGGGTTGGAGGGGTCCAGTGGGTTCGACTTGGCTGGGGGCAAGTGTGTGGCCACGGCTTTCACGCCGTCTGAACAGGAGCAGCCAGTATTTAAAACCCATGTCAGAGGCAGGAAAGCTGGAGATGCCGCAGCACCTCTACCCTCTTTTTTCTCTCTTTATTATCTCTTCTTCAGAGAGGCCCTGTGCTGAAAAGGGAACTTGGCTCAATTTCACAGAGATGCACCCAGGAAAGTGGTGACTCCTTTGAGGCGCCAAATTGGGCATAGGAGGCCCAACAAGTTGGGAGACTGAGAAGGAAGAAGAGGGGGCTTTTGAAAAATCAGTAAGTTGGTGCTAATTTTTTCTGACACATGGGGGGAAGTTTAGCGCATAAAAGGACTCCACACTAAAAACGGATGACCCCAAGAAAGCCGTGGAGCTAGGGTGTGGTTGTCCAACTGGGGACTGCGTTGGTCTTGTCTGTATCTGGCCCTTCGGTTCTCATCCCCTTGGTGCAGCGCCCTGCCCAGGCCGCTGAGGGCAGAGACAGGCCTCACGGGGCTGAGGTCGTCCCTGGGGCACCCGAGAGAGAGGTGTGCCTGGGAAGGGTACTTTCAAGGGGCAGCGCCAACTCTTCCCCACTCTTCACGTTTCCTTTTGTACGTTGAGCCCAGAGCGCTTGCTCTTGTTCTTATCCAGGGCTTTTTTCGATTTCCTAGACCGAATCTATTTCCCCCCTTTTCTTTGAAAAATCTTACTCTTATTTCTATTGTATATTGAGACATCAGCCTATTCTATTGCCCCCCATTTCCCTCCTTTTATTCTTTTTCTCTTTCTCACTGAGAATATTCCTTCGCGTTTTCCCCCACCGCGCAATGATAGGTGAATTTGGGGGCTATCGCGTCCCCCCACTCCTCTCTGCTCCCCTTGAGGAAGACCGCCGGGCTAGGAGAGGAGAGAGTCCGTCTCAGACGACTGGAGCTTTGGGGAAAGTGGCTGACGGGCGGAAATAGAAACGCAATCCCGGCATCAAAGGCTCGCTGTGCGGCGTCGGTTCCTCTCCAGCCGCGCAAGCTGGAGGGGAGTCAGCCAGGGCCAGACAGGACTCCTCCATGCCCTGCCCGCGCGCTCCTGCCTATTTTCAGTTTCTTCGTTTACTTTTTTTTTTTTTTAAACCTGGTTTCTCCCCCACCCTTAGTCCCAAACCCCAATCCAGAGACATCGGCAGTCACAGCGAGCGGCTTTTGGGTAAAGGTCAGTCTCCCCTACACACATCCTAAGCCTCAGGGAGGAGCCTAGGAACAGCTCTTGCGTCCCCAGACCCCTTTGCGTCGGCCAAATTCAGTCGCCCCCTCCTCCCTCTTCCTCCCAGGGGCCTGCCGGGGGCGTTGCCTTGTCCCTTTAAATCTCCCAGCTCCCTCCTTTTCGCTCCTTCTGAGACCCAATCAGCAAAGACTTCTTCCCTCTCTCCCCGCCCCACCTCGAGGGGAGGGAACCCCCGGAGACCAGGCCGGAGCATCACGTGCACTGACCACATCACGTGGGCGCGGGAGGGGTGCCGAGGGGCGGCGGGCGGGAGCCGGCCGATTTCTCAATGAAGTGTCTCCGCAGGCGTAGAGGGAACCGGAGGAGGGAGGTGGAAGCACCCGGAGGAGGAGGGGAGGAGTGGAGAGGAAAGGGAGGAGGGGTGGGGGAGGGGAAAAGGGAGCGAGGTGTCTCCCTAGCTCTCTGCCTCTGGCAAGTGGAGTTTTTAAAAAGCTCGAGCAGACCATGTCATGACGACTTCGCTGCTCCTGCATCCGCGCTGGCCGGAGAGCCTTAAGTACGTCTATGAGGACAGCGCGGCGGAGAGCGGCAGCGGCGGCGGGGGAGGCGGCAGCGGCGGCGGCGGTGGCGGCGCGGGGGGAGGCTGCAGCGGAGCGAGCCCCGGCAAAGCCCCCAGCATGGACGGGCTGGGCAGCAGCTGCCCGGCCAGCCACTGCCGCGACCTGCTTCCCCACCCCGTGCTGGGCCGCCCGCCGGCTCCCCTGGGCGCACCTCAGGGCGCCGTCTACACGGACATCCCGGCACCGGAGGCGGCGCGCCAGTGCGCCCCGCCGCCGGCGCCCCCCACCTCGTCCAGCGCTACCCTGGGCTACGGCTACCCGTTCGGGGGCAGCTACTACGGCTGCCGCCTGTCGCACAACGTGAACCTGCAGCAGAAGCCTTGCGCCTACCACCCGGGCGACAAGTACCCGGAGCCGTCGGGCGCCCTGCCCGGTGACGACCTGTCCTCCAGGGCCAAGGAGTTCGCCTTCTACCCCAGCTTCGCCAGCTCCTACCAGGCGATGCCCGGCTACCTGGACGTGTCAGTGGTGCCCGGGATCAGCGGGCACCCGGAGCCGCGTCACGACGCAATCATCCCGGTCGAAGGCTACCAGCACTGGGCTCTCTCCAACGGCTGGGACAGTCAGGTGTACTGCTCCAAGGAGCAGTCTCAGTCCGCCCACCTCTG